TAAATATCTATATATATACTATATTTATTATATATATATTTATAGTATATATATATATATATATAATATATACTATTTTATATATATATATAGATATATAATATATATATATATATATATAATATATATAGTATAATATTTATATATATATATTATTTATAGATATAGATATATATTTATATTATATATATTTTATATCTATATTTTTATTTATATATATTTTTTTTATTTATATATATATATAATATATATATATAATATATATAGTATATATTATATATATATATATGATATTTATAATAATATATATATACATATATTTTATATATATATATCTATATAATATATATTATATAATATATATATATATATATATATAATATATAGATATAATATATATATCTATATATATATATTTATATATTATAATATATATAGTTATTATATAATTTATATATATTTATATATATATATATATATATATATATATATTATATATATATATATATATAGATATATTTATCTATTATATATATTATATATATATATTTATATATTTATATATAATATTTATATATTTATTATAATCTATTTAATTATTTATCTAGTATATATATATATATTCTTTTCTATATAATATATATATATATCTATATTTATATACTATATATATCTATAATATAGTATCATATATATATATATATATATATACATATATCTATATAGATATATGATGTGTATATAAATATAATATAAATATATATATATATAATTATATTATATATATAGATCTATAATATCTAATATTATATATCTTTCTATCTCTATATATATATATATATATATACATATACATCCATGTGTATATACACTATCTAAATATATCGATCTATCTATCTCTATATACTATATATCTCCTCTATATCTATCTAGAATACTCTATCTCTCTATCTATCTATATCTCTCCAGTCTATACATGTGTATATAAATCATATCTCTATACATTCATCTATATTACCACTATATCATCTATCTCTCTCTCATCTATCTACTCTCTCTCTACTCTTATCTATCTATCTCTCTGTCTCTCTCCCTCTATGTCTCTCTCATCTCTTTCTATCCCTCTCTCTCTCGGTCTCTATCCCTCTCTGTCTCTCTATCTCTCTCTCTCCCCTCTCTCTCTCTCTCTATATCTAGCTCTATTCTCTATCTCTATCTCTCTCTATCTATCTCTCGTCTCTCTCTCCTCTCTCTACCCCCGTCCTTGCCCCCCTCCCCCTCTGCTCTGTCGTACCGCTCCTTGTTTCTATCCCTCCCGGCCCCCTCCCCTCATGTTCCTCTCCCCTTCCTTGCCCGGCCCCCGCCCGTTGTTTGTCAGGCGTACACCCACTCACAAAACATCTTGGCAATGCCTGCCATCAGGAGCAAGAGTGTACCCATATGGACAAATGCACCTAAAGGCACCTGCCATATTGTGGCAACGGAAGGCACATTGGTGACCAAGCTCTTCACATTCATCCACATACTTCGCAGGACTGTAATACCAAAAGAAGGAAATATGGATGAAATGAAAACAATATAGAAAAAAAGATATGAGAAAGAGAAAGGCATATTTATTGGTACAAAGATATTTTGGTTATTACATAAACATACACGAGAAAGGTTTACCTGCATGGGTCCTGGAGCAAAACCATCCTGGCATGAACATTCAAATCCACCTTCCACATTGCTGCATGTTCCATTTCCACAGATATTGGACACAGCACACTCATTATCATCTGAAGAAATTCAGGATTAAGAAGAAAACTTAAAATTAAAATATGTTCTTTAAATTACCACTATGAGAATTTCAATGGATTATTTTTAAGATAAATAAAAGCATAGTCATATCATAGTAACTTACCTATGCACCGTCGACCAGAGCTGTCAGCACATAGCCCATTGGACATTCACAGCGGAAAGACCCATCAGTGTTGACACAGTCCTCCACCTTCACATGAGCCTGGCATGATCTCACACTCATTAAGATCAGCCCCTGACTCAGAGCGGGCCGAGAGCCCTGAGGGACACAGCTTCTCGAATTCAGCTGTGGAAATTAGTACTTTCAATCAAAGTATTCTTTCTGTTCTGATAATTTGTATAAGTAAACTATAAGCCTCAAACTTCTGTCAATGGAACTTTTGATAAACTACTCATCAGTTGAAATTCAATCACTGAAACTAAAATTGCAGTATATGAATAAATATCATATCATATATATATATAGTATATATATAGATATATATATATATATATATAGATATATATATATATTATATACACATAAATATATATATATATGTATATATCTACACATAAATATATATATAATGTATATATATGTATGTCTATATATATATATATAATATATTATATATATATATATATATATATATATATATATATATATATATTATATATATATATATATATATATATATCATACCATTTTATTAACTACTCACGTGATCTACAGAGAGGGCAGCGTTCACAACCAATACCCCAGGCAGCACCCCCTGAGCAACAGCACTCCTTTTTCAGGATGCTCACTGGTCTTGGTTGAAGGCATATACCTTGCCAAAAAAAAAAAAAAAAAAAAAAAAAGAAATACTACTTTACAAGATGTATAAATCTATAAACAGGTTTGCTAGAGTGCACATAAGTTCCTTTTTAACAAAAGATAGTCAATGGAACTGAAAGCTTAAACTCTATATGAGATAGGAGGCAAAGCAAAAAATCCAAGGAGAGTATGGACTTTTGTTGCATATGAGAGTTACAAGTGTACCTTTCTAAGATCTTAAACACCTACCACTGGGTAGAAATATTGCACAATAAAGATTCATACAATGCAATTTGTAAAGAAAAAACTCACCTTGTTGGTATCTCTGATAGCACTGTTCTTGTCGTTGATCAACACACTTGGTCCCATCTGGGTTAAGCTCAAAGCCTGATGGACAGATGCACTGGAAGCTTCCTCGATTATTTTATGCATTCACCATTTTCACAGATGTCCTCAACTGTGCTGCACTCATCAATGTCTGTCAAAATATGTTAATACTAGAAATGAGATGCCAACATGCCAGTATGATGGATATATAATTTATTAAATGCTATTCTACCATTACCCTGTGTTAATTCTTAAACATATCATGAAAACATGTATAGTATATAATAATTAGAAAAGCCATTTAATCATTATCATATACATTAAATTAATTAAAAAGTCAGTTCAAGAGTAATGTTTAATTAAGAGAAGACTGAGAACATAAGAGTCAGTAGCTTCTATAGTGTTCTAATACATTTCATGTTGAAGTGCTTGTATTTTAGTAGAATGAACATAAAGCCCAGACTGCAATAAGAATATAAAGCAGAATAAAAAATAAATATTTAGGACAAAATATCCAAAAATACACCAAAAGATTGTTTGAAAGATGTTGTACTCAAAATATGGAAGCTAACATAACATAATGCCATCCAGTCATGAACAGTGGTGGCAAAAATTGACTTCTACAGCAGTACAAACAAGGAGAAAAAGTACCTAAATACATCAAGAAAAGAAGACCTCTGAATAACTGTAACTGGGAATTCAAACCAGATGATCACATAATGATGATACAGTTTACAATTTGTTATCACTGATCACATACATGTACATAGGTGAAGAGATACTCAGTTCCAATATAAGGATGTACACAGATAAGCTGGAAACAGTTCATATGTGGCCATGTGCCAAATTTAAGGGACTTGAACCATTAAGACTGAAGGAATTACAACTTGCAACATAAGATGACAAAAGGAATAAGTGATATATTATATTTTAATTTGGTCTCAGGACCAATGGAGTTAGACAAGAATTTCTTACTCAGTTCATGAAGATTATTTTTCCAAAAAGGATTAGCATTGTAAAGAAAAACCTTTCAGAAAATATTGTAAAAGCTATAGACACAGTTCTAAGCACATGATTGGGATAACCATAAAAGCCTGGTACACATGTAGTGGGTCCCTTCTAGCTGAAAGGTAACTATCCAGATGAGGCAGCAGGAATGAAAATAAGGGTAGGATGGTGAAAGCTGTTTTTTAGCAGAGGTGTTAAAATCAAAGATGCTACAAATAGGAGAGTAATAATAATTACCAGTAGTATTTCTTTCTTCAAGTAAATAATTTAGGCCTAATGTGGACTGGGGTGGAAAACACAGGAATTGTTGAAATTTAAAAGACTACTTCTAGAAAGTGGTATGCATGTAGGGCTGCATGATGGTGAATAGGAATAAGATGGGTTGATCTTGGGTAGAGTGGGAGGTACAAAATATTTTTTCTTTTTAATTTTAATTTTAAATTTTGTGTCACATGATATGTAGGTCTTAACCCATTTGCAATGAGCATGTCACATATCCGTGACATGCCCACTGTGAGTTTACTTGTTTAATTGTTTTTACTCATAGATGGCTACACTTGTATTAAATCACCAATGAGCCAATTACGAGTACTGCCTGTATGCCTGTTTACTCTTTTTTTAATTTACGAAAATGTTTTATGTTATTTTTATTTTGCTATTACTAATGTTTATAACATTATAGTAATTATAATGTTTATAATAAAAATAACACCATCGATATCCATAGCACTAGTAAAAAATACATTTTCCCACCAATTTAAGGAAAGGTGAAATCAGGTAAGGCAGAGCCATCTATGTGTAGAGACATTTCACAAAAAATATAAAAAATGACCGGAGCATTTTCCCCATTTTTTATTCATTTTCCGTGTCGTGAATGGGTTAAGCTATTACAATATAATGCATTCTACCTAAAATGTTATATGTAAAACATGACAGCTTCATGTATGTAACTGTTTGTTTTAGAGTGTGACTCTGTGCAGCACTATTTTTTCTTTGCATTTGTTACAAAAGGTAAATAAGCAAGATGTAATTCCATTCCATTTAAGACAACTATAGATCAACTGCT